AATCCCTCCAGGGATGGGGACTCCACCAGCACAGCCCTTTCCAAGAAGAAATTCTCCCCAATATCCAACCTGAGGCTCCCCTGGCCCAGCCTAAGGCTGTTCCCTCTCCTCCTGTCCCTGTTCCCTCCTGTCCCATCCTGTCAGGGACTTGTGCAAAGCCAGGAGGTCCCCCTGAACCCTTTTCTTGTTTTACATTAAACAAAAACCAGCCACAAATGTCTGCCTGTGCACTCAAGTGCCCCATAGAAGTGAATATTGCTGTCAGTAATTCGGTGTGTGAAAAACCAGCTCCATTTCAGGCAAATGTACAAACTCACTCTATCAAAAAGGCACATAAAGAAATGGAAAATAACTAAAATGCATTCCAGCTCAAACAGGCATTTTATCTGTTCCAGACATTCCCAAATTCTCCAAAGCTTCACAATTCAAAGGATGCTGGGAATGGGTTCTTTTAGACACCCTGTAATGTGCAATTATAGGACAGCAAACCTGATCCTACTGCCTGTGCTCCTGGAATTATCAAGATGCTGGAGGAACACACAACAGGAACACCTGATATTTGTGTGCTGCTCTGGCTGGATACAGAATCAGAAAGAAAAAAAAGCTGTCACTTAAAAAAAAAAATTTAACTTCATACAAATGTAAGCTGTCACAAAGTACCTCTGCATTGTGTTTATCCAACTGGGAAAAGCTGCCAGTCTTTTATTAACAATCCTTGCCTGCATTACTCAGTCACTGCACATTAGAACCAGCAGCTGGAGAGTTTGGAGTGATAATGAAACCTGTAACAAGCCATCCTCAGCCGTCTTTTCCAAACAATAAGGGAATTAAAATTTCAATTTAAATGCAGAGGTTTGAAACACGCTTCAGTGGCAAAATTACTTCAATTAATGTGAGTGGAATACAAAGAGCAGGCTGCAGGGATGGGATGCAGCAGGCTGGAATGATGCCTTTGGAGGGGTTGCAAAGGGCTGCAAAGGTCTGATTCTGACTGTATGGATCACAGGGCTACAGGAACAGCATCAATCAGGGCTGCAAGTGCAGGGTGAGGGGACAAACTCCTTGTCAAAGCACTTTGGGGCTTCTCCTGAGCCACCAGCAGCTGTTTACCTTGAGGAATGAAACCAAAGGACAGGCAGATCTATGGACACTGTGCCTCCCTGACAGATCAGTAATGATTTTACATAATGTTCCTATCATATCAAAGGAGAAGGGAATTATCCCCAGCCAGTGAGTGATTACAACATCACAGCCTCGCAGAGCTGTGTTAACACAAGATGGCAAAAGCCAATGAGCCTGCAGTGATTTTTGGCCAGGGAAAAGCTCCAAATGCAGGTGAATTACTGTTTCTTTATACAGGCACATTTGTCTTCAAATGAGAATTGCAAGTGTCAATGAGTGGCTGAAATTGAGTGTTCAATTTCCACTTGAGGTTTCTCTGCATTCCTTGATATATATTCAAAAAAGCCCATGAACTAACAGCTGCTTTTTATATCATTACTATTTGATTTATTAGAAAATATTTGCTATGCTGAAAACAAAAAAACAACCAAACAGAGCAGCAGCAGAAATGCTGCGGAAGTCTATAAATCAGAGAGATCTAATGCTGTCTCTCCCTCATAGCCACAGGCAGCTTTACACATATTTAAATACACATAAGTGTTTATATTTAAAATAACCGTACACAAAATATTGCAAACCAGTAAATATCAAATACACAGGTTGAAAACCATTTCTAAAGCACAATGTATGAGAAATCTTAAGCAAGGTTATTTTTCTTCTTGCACTTCTTAACGCGGATTTCAAATAGGGAACAGATTACTTGTCTGGCATTTTGAAAAGAATTTTTTTTTAATTAAAAAGGAACCCACAAAAAACAAAACAAAACAAAAAACCCCAAAACAACAAACCAAAAAACAACTAAACCAAGCAAACTGGTGAAAAAAACACCAACGTTTCAACTCCTACTGATGGCAACTGTGAGTATCATATTTTGGTACCTACACTGGACATCCTTAATTTCCACCTCCTTTTTCACATCTGACAATTGAAAATATCAGGCAAACACCACACTTGGATTCTCCCATTTCTGGAGCTGTCCAAGGCCAGGCTGGAGCAGCTTGGGACAGTGGGAGGTGTCCCTGCCATGGCAGGGGTGGCACTGGGTGGGATTTCATGTCCCTTCTAACCCAAACCCTTCCATGATCCTTTCAATGCAGCAGGGCTGGCACAGGAGAGGAGGAGGAACAGAAAAACAAGAGGAAGGTGATGGCAGGGTGAAACCAGACACGAGGATGTGACAGCAACACCAAAAACCAGGTGGGTTCCACAGGCCATGGGAGGGTGGGATGGGAGTGGCATCCAGCTGGGGGAAATCCAGCACAGAGAACAAGGTAAGTTTTACAAAGTTATGTTTAAGGTGAAATAAGATAAAGCAAAAAGGAGGAAATTAAAGCTCAGGGTGAATTTCCAAACCTTTCTCCTGTTGGGTAATGACTTATTAAAAAGAAGTGAAGAGGCACAGCTAAGAGAAACAACAAAGGGCAGTGAAAGGGAAAAAACCAACAAAATAAGGCAATGAAAAGATGGCCTTAAAGGCACTGTCTATCCAAGAGGAGCAAGAAACAGAGGCAGCACTTTTGCCTCTGCTTTTTGTGGTTCAGGATGGAAAGGACCTGTGGAGAACATCAAATCCACCTCTCTGCCCAAGTACAGGCATCTAGAGCCATGTCCAGTCTGGATTTGGAAATTTTCCACAGAGGGAGACTCCAAAACCTCTCTGGATCTATAGAGCTTGAACTTAAATCCACCTCTCTGCCCAAGTACAGGCATCTAGAGCCATGTCCAGTCTGGATTTGGAAATTTTCCACAGAGGGAGACTCCAAAACCTCTCTGGGTCTATAGAGCTTGAACTTCAAGTGTTCAACCATCCCTACAGTAAAAAGGGGCTGGTTTATTGAACTTCTTCAAGTGTTCAACCATCCCTACAGTAAAAAAGGGCTGGTTTAGGATCAAACTATTCCCTGTGTTTCAGACTGTGCCCATTCCTCTTCCCCCATCCCTGGGCACCATAAAGGAGAGTCTGGCTCTGTTTCCTTTGCACCCTCCCATGAAACAATAATAACCATCAAGAACATCTCCCTGGGGATCCTCTCAGCCTCTCTCCATGTGTGAGATGCTCCTTAACCATCCCTGTAATCCCCCACTGGCCTGGACCCAGTAACTCCATCTGTCTCTACTGGAGAGCCCAGGACTGGACTGAGCACTCCACATGTCAGGACTGAGAGGAGAAAAATCACCTCTCTTGTTTTTAATTCCTAAAGACAGTTCCAGGAAAGGAAGGACTGGAGCCTGGTCAGGAAATGTGCTTGTTAAGTTTACAAAAAGAAAGATTGTTATTAGAGAAGTCCAGGAAACTCCTGGACTGTGGCATACACATTCTCTGAACAGAGACATAATTCTCTCTCTCAAAGTGTTTTTTTTTTTTTTTTTCCTGGAGAAGCACAGAGAGAAGAAGAGAAAAACAATTCTTATCTCTAGTCTCTGCTCCTGTTGTTTTGCAGATGTGGAACGTGTTAGGAAGATTGTTCATCTGAAGTGATTTGTCAATTAGAGTCTGCTGAGAATTGTTTTGTTTCCTTGGCCAATTGGAAAAAGCTGTGTCCTGAATGTTGGGAGACAGTATTCTTTAGTATTCTTTGTATATATTTCTTTAGTATTCTTTGTAGTAAAGCATTTCTTTAATATAGTGTAGTATAATGTAATATAATATAGTTTAATAAAGCAATTGTTTAATAAATCAATGGAGTCAGATGCCAATCATTCCTTCGTCAGGGGCATCCTGATTTTACTGTGCTGGACAAGACTGGAACTGTAAGGCAAGCTAATAAAAGAAATGGAACTGAAGACAAAAAACACTTGAAGGAATGGAGAAAAAGAGATTAACCAGGAGCTGGAAGTAAGAAGAAAGAATCAAGAACCCTGAGAAAAGAATCACAGAGTCACAAAACCAATTAAGTTGGAAAAGATGTCTGAGATGATCAAGTCCAACCTACCACATCCAGGAATTCCATGGACACCTCCAGGAGTGGGAACTCCAAACCCTTCATAGCAGTTCATTGCCACGTCTGACCACCTTTTCTGTGAAGAGAATCCTCCTAATAACCAACTTAAACCTTAAGCCTTTGTTCTCTCATGCAGACAAAGAGGCAAAGCCACCTAAATAGTGCAAGAAACTCCCCTGTGAATAATGGCCAAAGTTGTGAGTGCATTCTGGGCATGAAAGAGGAGGGACACAGGACAGTTCCTTCTATTATAAAAAAGGGTTTGAAATAATAGGTAAGATTTTAAGAAATGATGATCCAGGCAGGTGTCTGGAAAATTAATTTTGGAATAAAGCATGAGACTGCAAAAGGAGGAGATGGGAGGGAAAGGGGACAGAAGGGGGCAAAAAGGGGATGGAAAGGGGACAAAAAAGGGGGACAAAAAAAGGGGAGACAAAAAAGGAGGAACAAAAAGGGGGCCAGAAAAAAGAGGCCAGAAAAAAGGGGTGTGGTTGTGTTTGAGGGTCCCTGGATGAGGGAAGAGATGAAAATCTTGACTCCATGTTTCAGAAGGCTGATTTATTATATTATGATATTATACTATATTAAAATGCTATACTAAAACTATACTAAAAAGAATAGAGAGAAAGGATCTATTAGAAAGCTAGAAAGGAATAGAAAGGAATGAATAACAAAAGCTCATGATTCTCAGAGTCCAACACAGCTGGATCTTTCATTGGTTATTAAGCAGAAACAACTGACATGGACCAACCAAAGATGCACCTGCTGGTAAACAATGTCCAGACCACATTCCACAGCCATCAGATAGTTAATTTTCTGCATTTCTTCTCTGAGGCTTCTCAGCTCCTCGGGAGAAAATCCTAGCAGAGGGATTTTCATAAAATATCACGGTGACAGCTAAAGGGGGCACAAAAAGGGGGCACAAAAAGGGGGTACCAGCATGTCGGTGGCGTTGAGGTAGCGCTTGCTGGCCATGCACTGCTCCAGCTTCTGAGGGACCTGCTTGATGTTCTCGATCTCGTCCAGGAGGTTCAGGACGTGCTTGTGCTCGATGCCCTCGATCCACAGCTTGCGCAGCTCGTCCCGTTTGCAGTGCAGCAGCATCTTGCAGGACAGCAGGTTCTCCTTCACCTGCAGCAGCACAGCAAGGGTTAATGACATCTGCAGCTGAGAGCAGCCCTTCCCCACGTTTGCTTTATTAGGGATTCCAAAAATATCATCGGGGTAAAAGCAAGTTTGATTTCCTTTGTGCTGCCTTGGCTGAGGAGAACTTTACAGACCTTAAAAACTGAACTTTTCTCGTAGTGAAATGTTCTTTAATGCAAGTTTTATACCACTAGTGAAAATGTAACTGAAGTAGCACAGTGCAAGGAAACCCAGATCCTGTTAACCACAACCAAAGCCATTTCCCAAGAACCAATTCAGTATTTTGGCAAACAGCAAGAATTTAATTTTCTGTGGAAGCAAATAAGCCACCACTAATTTTCCTGCTGCAAACATTTTCCATCTGCCTATTAAATCTTTTGGCAGTCTCCTCCTTTCTTCAGGTTTGGTGCTTTTTCTCTGAAACCAGTCCAGACCACAGTAAAACTATTTTCCCAATAACTTGAGCAATACCATTTTTTTTAAGAGAAGATTTATGAGTTCAAATGAGCATTTCCATTATTTATCAAGCCATTACAAACTAAGAGTAAAACTATTTTCCCAATAACTTGAGCAATACCATTTTTTTTTTAAGAGAAGATTTAATCAGAACATTTATGAGTTCAAATGAGCATTTTCATTATTTATCAAGCCATTACAAGCCCTTTAGTGGTACCATGCAGTTTGGTTCTGAGCCTGATGCCATCATCCAAGTGGCAAAATCTCTAATTTTTCCCCATTTAGGCAAGTGGCAAAATCTCTAATTTTTCTCCATTTAGGCAACACAAGAGTTTTCCTTCTCCACTCTCTCCACTCACAGCATTCCCTGCTTTCAGATTCTCCCTGGTAAGGTCAGAGTAACCTAGCTTTCCCTGCTTAATGCAAATCAACAATCCATACTAAAATGTGGAAGCAATTAGCAGCACAGCTTCACACATTGCCTTCACACCACTCTTGTTTTGTGATAAGTTATGAATACTTGGGGCCCAACCTTTTCTCAGGCTGAACTCTCACTGAATTACACATGAAGAGAGACACTCAGAAGGAGCCCTTCAATTTATTTTTAAATAATGAGCCTTTAAAGCACTCCACAAATCCCACTTCAGCTGCACTTTCTCCTACCTTGTTCACCTGAAGGCAGTTAAAAAAAAATGTGAGAAACACATCAGTGGACCAATACTGGACACTTGTAAATAAAAACAGCTCCATAAGACAGCCTCTGTCCAGAGGCAGGAGAGTTTGAGATTTCAAAAGTGCACTCCAAAATGTCCTTCTGAAAAGAGAAGCATGGAAAAATCCTCAGCCAACAAAAAAAACCTCATCTGAGGGTGTCCTAAAAAGCAGAGGCAAACTAAAGCACACGCAGAGATCATTTCACATCTAATCCCTGTTCAATACATTAATTGGAAATGTTTCACTGGCCTGGCACAGCTTCATCAGTGGACTGCAGCTACAGAGAGCCAAATTAGGTCAGCAAAACAATCATGGGGCCAGGAGGAATCTCACCAGACATTCCTGCTCCTGTCCTTGCAAGAAAGATCATCAACTCCATCCACATCTGGGAGCAGGGCAAGGAATGAACAGCAGATCTTAAAACAAAAAACCTCCCTTTGGGAGCTCAAATTGATTCTGCTTCCTAATTCAGTTTTACAGAGGCAACACCTCTGTAGCTAAACCCAAAACTAAACCATTCCCACCAGGAATCCACACAAGAATTGACTACAAAAGGCAGATCCACAGAAGGCTCTGGAATATCTGTCACCTGTACAACTCCCACCTTGCACAGAGGGGAACACGAAGAGCAAGCCTGGGACTGTAACACAGATTGATGACAAAGCAGACCTGGGGCCTCCTGTGAGATTAGGTCAAAACCACTTCAATACATATTGACCAAAACCAATAAGCAAACTTAAATACCAAAAGGTCCCTCACTCTTACAGTCATTCTTCTAGGTGGGACCCAAAGGTCACACCACTCTCTGCTTGTGTTGACCTCTGCAAAGCTTTGCACACTGTGTGAAACCAGGCCACTGCCTACAGTTGATTTCAAATTTAGTGGAATTGATCTCTGCTTTCAGAGTGCTGAGCTTTGTCCATAAATCCTGGAATGAACTCTTACCCTTGGAAAGCAGCAGAATGCTCTCATTTTCTTTGAAAATGTTAAATGAATTTTCAAAGCCAGAAGGGTCAGTATGTAACGAACCAAGGGTAAAAATTTGCTGCTCCTAAAGCACTCCTGGGAAAGGTTTTAAGCTGAGAGCCAGGAAACAAACTTAAGTGAGAAAAATTTGGTGCCTGTTTTGCAAAGTTTAGACACAGCAAACTGTACAGGAAGTGCAAGATAGGAGCCCAAAAAACTCATGTGCTGCTGCAGGGACAGAGCAGCTCAAACAAGTCCCCTGCCACGAGTGCCAGAGTTATTTACTGGCACTATACCCTCAAGTGTGAGCACTCAAAATGCAGAAAGATTTGGGGGCACAGAGTTCATGGGCGTTCACACAACACAGCTGAGCTTGGAAATAGCATCAAAATTCATATTCTGTGAGCAAAAAGCGAGATGATGCATCACCCAGACTATTCAGGAGGTGGTTGAAGGCCAAGATAGCAAAACATGAAAGGATGAGATGGAAAGGTGTGAGCTCAGCAGCCCTGGAGACTTCAAAAACCTGAGAGCAGCATGCCCAGACAATAAATGAACAGGGGCACTGCAGAGCTTTGTGCTTCACATCCACCTCTCAGTTTGACTTTTAACAACTTCTCTCCTCAGGGAGATCCTACAGAAAATGCTGTCAGTAAGACACAGCTTGGGACAGTGGTGGGACTGGAGGGTCCTGTAGGGACAGAGTCACTGGTATTCAGGCCTAGCTTAGAATTAGAGTCATGCCAAGATGTGAGGTTGAAGGGAACTTAAAAATCATCTTTAAACCCCTGCCATGGCAGGGACACTCCCACTGTGCCAGGCTGCTCCAGCCCCAGTGTCCAGCCTGGCCTTGGACACTGCAGGGATGCAGGGGCAGCCCCAGCTGCTCTGGCAATTCCAGCCCAGCCAGGAATTCCTCATGGCCAAGATCCCATCCATGGCTGCCCTCTGGCACTGGGAGCCATTCCCTGTGTCCTGTCCCTGCAGGCCTTGTCCCCAGTCCCTCTGCAGCTCTCCTGGAGCCCCTTCAGGCCCTGGAATGTGCTGGAAGCTCTCCCTGGAGCATTCTCTTCTCCAGGTGAGCACCCCCAGCTCTCCCAGCCTGGCTCCAGAGTACAGGAGACTCCAGCCCTGTGTTCCAACAGTGTTGGAATTAGTACTCCAGGTGGGAATTCAGCAGGAATTTAGTGGTAATAGCACTTTCTCCACTCAATTTTTATTCAATTCAAAATGAAGTTGAGAAGCTGGAAAAACAGAGAGAGAAACAAAAGCTTAAAACAGGACTTTAGAGCTTCCATCACTGGTGGTTACTGGTAGCAAAACCACGAATAAAACAACAGGAGCCAGGAAAAAAGGAGATTTGCAGCTAGAGCACAGCCTGTGGAGCTGACACATGTTGGATTATGCTCTTTTGTGACCCACAGATGGGGCAGCTGAGAGGTGTTTTATCCAACTTTGATTCCATTTTCAGTCTCATGTGAAGGGTGAGACAATATAGATGTTAGAATTCACCCCATCATAACCAGAAGCCAGCTATTTCCTAATTACAAGACATTATAAGTGTTTATTGCTCTGTCAGCTCTAGCCACACCATGCTGTAAATGCCCTAAAGCCAATCACCTAAAATTACCCCTCGTGGGTGCCACTCCAATGCCTCTTTCACAGTTCTATTTCTCCAAAGCATCCAGTCTTTTTAGCAAGGCCACCCTTTGAAACTTGTTTCCAGTTCCATTTCTCTCTCAGCAATGTCTGTGCTGTTCCAGGGCATTCCTAAGTCAGCATTTCTCATCTCAAAGTGTGCATACAGATGTGAGAAATCTGTCAGGCTTTGGGAATTCTCTACAAATCCACCATTCCTACCTGGATACAATCTGAGCCCGGAACAGCACAGCAGCCTTTGCCCACTGCATTCCCAGAGGAGCAGCTTTCTCCTGCCCTGCATTCCCAGAGGGAGAGCAGGCCCATCTCCAGCAGCCCTGGAGCTCCAGAGGAAAACTGCAGCCTTGTGCAGGATCCCTGCTCCAGCAGAAGCACAGCTGGCCCTGCAGGAGGGCTGAGCCCCCATGGGATGGGACTGTGCCACCACCCTGACCCACACAGTGTCAGGGCAGATTCTGACTCTGCCTGTGGTTTTTTTGTTGTTTGTACTATTGCATTTGTATTTTTAATTTCCCTAGTAAGGAACCGTTATTCCTATTCCCATATCTTTGCCTGAGAGCCCCTTAATTTCAAAATTATAACATTTGCAGGGAGAGGGTTTACATTTTCCATTTCAGGGGAGCCTCCTGCCTTCCCTAGCAAACACCCATCTGTTCAACCCAAGCCACAATGTATACGAACTCCACAAATCCAGGTCCCCATTCACGAAGTCAGAGCCCTGAGGGCGGGGTGGCACCTGCTTGATCTTGTTGCGGGAGTTGGTGATGCGCTCGGTGATGCTCTGGTAGGTGCGGATGGCCGTGGTCAGCTCCGTGTAGTGCTGCACGATCAGCTCGTCCAGGTCGCGGTCGCACTTCTCGTACGCCTCCTCCAGCCGCCCCTTCTCGTTCTCCCGGTCCTCCACGTCATCGCTGGTGGATAAAGTCCTGAGGATACCACGATGGCAAAAGTTATTTGGAGGTTTTTTTTTTTGGTAGAGATCAATGTACTCCGAGAAAATCAAACCCATCAATACTGTGGTTTATTACTCCGCCAGGTTTCAAACCCTCCATATTATTATCGTTGCCACTTGTAATGAAGGGATGGTATTACTGCACAGGCAACCCCCGATGAAGGGGAGAGAATGATGCATCTGACTCCATCATCAGAAGGCTAAATAATTACTTTATTATTCTAAATTATATACACGATATCTAAACTGCCTTGCACTCTTGCTCACAACTGCACTCATCTCGATTCTCTCTCATGACTCTCCCGTGACAGTCCAACACACACACAACTCTTGGCCCTGATACGCCAAGAGAACAAGACATCCTCACTTTGGGTAAACAATCTCCATTTTGCATTCCACCTTAGCACAGCAAACGAGATAAGGATTATGTTTTCCTTCTTCTCTGCTTGTGTCACAGCTTCTCTCTGTTCAGAGGGCATGTGAATACCACAGGATGGGACTATTTTCGGGCTGAGAACGATTTATTGCTCAGATAAACACCTGTCTCAGAGGCTGTGAGATTTTAAAGGAGCAAGCAGTCGGCCATAGCTTAAGAGCAGTCACAAGTTTCTTTGTTACAAGGCAATACAGAACTTTCTAAACCAATGTACAGTTGCTACAGGGTTTATTTTGCTTTTCTAACCTATCACCTGTGACCACTTTTCTCTTCACAGAGAAAAGCAAGGCACAACTTCCCAAGGATATTTTCTGGGAATCGCAGCGAGGAACCTTGGAGAAAGAAAAACCAATTTTTATCTCAATTACTGCTCCTCTTGTTGTGCCAAAGTAGAATGCAATATGGAGATTGTCTACCCAAAGTGATGGTGTTTTGTTTCCTTAGCCTATCAGGGCCAAGCACATGTCCAGACTGTCAGTCAGCAGACAACCACAAGATTTTGTGCAGCTGAGTGCTTGTGCAGTTTCAGTTTGGATGTGGTGTAGGATAGTGTAATACAGTACAGAACAATGTGGTATAATAAAGTAATTGATTTGCCTTCTGATGTCAGTGGAGTCCTCCTCGTCATTTCTCCCTGCCATGGGGGTCGCTCTGAATCCTATAATCACCTTTACTAACTTCTGCTGTACTGCAGATACTTTTGTCCAATAGGCTTCTGTCTCACATGCACATATATGCTTCTATTACAACTTCTAAACTCTCAGCTTATTCTGTACAACCACACCCCTGCATTATAAACCCTTCACTGCCTTATCAATACAGTTTCTCACTTGTTTAAGGCATATTCTTTCTTACAACGACAGAAACATAAGTTTATGGTTTTTCTGCTTAATGTCTGTGCATTGTATTTTTACATCAACTCAAGCTTGTCCCAAGGCTGCAAATCAAACCCTTCTGTGTCTATGGAAGTTTCTATTTTTCTGATTCCCACACCTTCAGAGCTTTTCTTTTCCCTTTTCAGGGAAAGTTCTCTCCTGGTTATCACATTGCCAGACAGTCATTAATACAGGCACAACATAATATCTGAAATATTTCCTGATTTATTATTTATGAAGAGGTATAAGGAAAAAAAATCCTAACTTTAATAATGGAAATTAGTTCAACTTGTGCAGCGTTGTAGTTCCTGTAACTTACCTGCCAAAGGTAAGGGATGTCACAGGGACACAGAGAAATCCATCACAAATCTATCCAGGTCTTCCACCAGTCAGTGTTCAAAGATATACCAATAAAACAAGAAAAGGCCCTATGACCCTATTTCCCCCCTCAATTATTTTAACCTCTAACATCATGTAGTAAGATTCTTTTTACTGAAATCAATTTAGTTTGAGATTGCAACAAAACTGCTGAAAACTTTGTGAAACTGAACGTAGCTCAACGCTTCTTGATGTCACTCCAGATTTCTATTCAAGAATCAATGCAATCTTCTCCCTTTGAGAGGATAAAAATCCCAGAAAGAGCAGCAAAAACCTCTTCCTGATATCCAACCTCAACCTCCCCTGACACAGCCGTAGATAACTCCACAGTACCTGCACATAAGTGAAATAAAGTCCCACAGGACCTGTCCCTGTCACAGAGAGCCGAGATCGGAGCTGCCCCTCCTGAAGAAACTGCAGCCCCCCACAAGTCTCCCCTCAAAGCAGCTTCTTTCAAAGCATAAAACTGATTGCATTTCTTGTTCCATGCTGCATGGTAGCTACAGAAACAGGAATCATTTCTCATGCTATTACATTAATATTCTACTCCCAAAGCTTTTGTGTCTTAAATCGGCTTTTTAAAAAAAATTAAATTATATTTTAGCCAAAGCTCTTCAAAAAGGCTCTGAGAAGTAGGAACACTAGACAAGGTTGCTCAGGGCCCAGAAAATATAAATTTTAGTGAAAGGCTCCCTGCCCATGACCATCTTCAAGTCCCTTCCAATCCAAACCATTCCACGACTCTAAAATGAAAATCACGTGCAAGGCTGGCAGAAAGTCATCCTCTGTTAAGAGCCCTTGCAGATAAATCCATTCTCTTCGTGAAGAACTGCTTATTTCTGCTGGAAGACTGTTCTTCAGCATGGCTACACGGGACACAAGGAATATCCAACTCAGGAATTGACATTTTGTTTGAGTTTGGAGCTGCCTGTCCCAGCAGTTAATGAAAACATCCATCCTCTGTGACCCGCGGCACAGACCGCAGGAGAATCCTGCATGGAGACAGACAAGGGAGCAGCAGAACCAAACTGGCCCAGAGCACAGACTAGGAAAGTTGGTAGTTTTAATCAAACCAAATTCAATTTCACAATTCTGGATTTGCCACAGAATCCATCTGCAGTGTCAGCAGTTGGTTACAAAGGCTGAAGATCTCTCTCCAAAGCTAAGATTACATTGCTCATGTCAGAGGATGCCATGAGGATTCCACTGCTCCAGAAAATTCCCATCCAACCCAGGCTTCCTAACAAATCCCAGCCATAGTTTGGAAGCAGATTTATATTGTGTTGCCCAGTCTTTTTGTCCTTGCATTTGAATTTAGCTTGTCCTCTCTATAGGAAAAATACATTTTGCTAAAAACATCTGCCCAGCAAAGCAGAGCTGTTGGTGAAGCCTGAGAGGTCCCAGCAGTTCCTATCTCAGAAACCCCAAAAGTTTTTGTACTATTGCATTTGTATTTTTAATTTTCCTAGTAAAGAACTGTTATTTCTATTCCCATATCTTTGCCTGAGAGCCCCTTAATTTCAGAAAGACAAAGCCAGGACAGCTTGAAAGCAGAAACCTTGGAGATCCCACCTGATTATTCCTACTGAGATCATAAATGAGCATGCACAGTTCTGGTCTCCTCTCACCCTCAAAAGGGCAGCTAAACCAAGATGAACCAAAGTTTCAGGCTCAGTCAATTGTCACAATCCAGGATTTCCATCTGCCCTTGTTGGATGCAGAATAAGCACCTGTATTGAGAACATCCTGCTTTTGTTTTAATTCTTATTACTCTTTATTTTAGTTCCTATTAATAAATTTTTCTTTATACCTTTTTAAAATGTAAAAAATCCTATCTCAAAACAAAAATGAAAACATTACTAATTAACCAACACCAAACCCAGCACACTAACTAGCACATGAACTAAGAAATGTAAAAAGTAATGAAATCTCAAATTAACAAACCAAAACCACTACACATAATTACCTGGTTTAGGAATATACTGCGGGAACAACCACCACTAAAAATATCACATTCATACTTTGACCAGAAAGCTTGTATTTATTTACAGTCCTTTAATCTGTTCTATTTCAAACCATCACAGAATTATTAAGGTTGGAAAAGACCTCTAAGATCATGGAGTCCAACCATTAACCGAGCAATGCCAAGGTCACTAAATAACGGTCCCAGGCACCACATCCTACATCAAAAAGAATAAAAAATTCCACACAACAACAAATTTTCCTCAACAGGTTTTTTCTTAGCCCTCCACTCACTTGAATTTCCTTTAAACACCTGTAGATTATTTCCTGTATGGGTAAGAATTTAAACCAAAACCCAAGACCCAAACGGAAAAAAGTAACAGAGGTTTTTTTTCCCCTTCATTTTACTGAAAAACACGGTGAGTTTTAGAAATGTAAGGTTTTGGGGTTTAGGATCTGGTTATTTCCAGTGATAATTAGTCTGGATTAATAATTTGGAATTTGAAACTCCATACACCTGAATTTCCCATTTAAGTCTCATGGTACAGGAACCATTTCTTCTTCTTGCTCTCCACAAAAACAGAAGAGAAAAGCAAGGAATACTTAATATTCTTGAGATTATCCATGCTCCTGCTAACACTGCAGAAAAGTAAGCCAAGGGCATCTCTGCTTATTTTAGTCCTATTAAAATGTGTTGCAAGGAAGAAGAAAAGTCAACACAGTGTTTGTCAAACAGAAAGGATCCAAATTGTTTGGGAAAGGAACTTTGCAGGAAGAACTTTGAAGGGGGAATCACAAAACAGGACAGGATTATGAAACAATGATAAATATACATCAGCATTTCAGAACTCCCTGAAAAATATTCCAAACAGAGGACAAACAGAAGGAAAATCAGTTTAGATCCCAAGTAGCAGATGATGAACTCAGTGGGGGTTTCCAGGAGGAATTCCTGAGCAGTTCACTCTTTTTTTTTATTTTGATTTTTTCCAAGTAAGAATCCTCCTCCTCTGTAAGCTACCTGGAATTTGTACTTGGCAGCTGGATGGCTGCAGATGTCTGTCTCATTAGCAAGAGCTCACCAGGATTACAATAATTCCAACTGGCTGTGAGTCTGCTGAGAGACATTTTTATGCTACGGTGAAACAGAAATTCATTGAGCCAAATCTCCCAGACTTCTGATTTTACATAGTTAAAAATACAGATGACACAAAAGCAAAATGTTTCATTCACTGGAGTCACTCCCACAGATGGAAGACAGGATAGAGGAGAAGATGATCAGACACAATCCTGAAATGTTTTTATCATGGGGTGTACAGCACTTTC